GGAAAATTATTCTCAAAGAAGAAAAACAGTTGGATGAAGAAGAACGTTGTAGAAATAAACAGAGAAGGGTCATGTCAAACAAGGGTCATGTCAAACAATAAATAGAAATTGAAATGGTATTTATTTAAAAAATTTACATGGAGGATGGATGGTGTTGTGAAAGAATAATAATGCATTTTGCAACATTTCACATATGACTTGGCCCCATATTCAGGAGTATTGCACAGTCCTTTATTACTTAACCATCACAAATGGGGCATTATTGTAAAGGGGAATAAACAGGCTTTTCAATGATACCTAGATATAAAATATAATAATATAGTAACAAGAGAGATATCAACACTCAAACTTCAATCACAGAATTTTGTTTAAAGACTATAGCATTGATTCTATTACTGTTCATGATCATTCCGTACCTTCCCATAGAGATCACCCATCTTGGTTCAGGCATCTGATCATACACCTTCCTCAGAGCCGGAGCCATCTTATTGGTCAGAGTACCAGCAACGATCATCACGTCAGACTGTCGAGGGCTGGCTCGGAACACCACGCCAAACCTGTCCATGTCGTACCGGGGAGCAGCGAAGTGCATCATCTCCACAGCGCAGCAGGCGAGGCCAAAGGTCATGGGCCAGAGTGAACTCTGCAGGGAAATGGGAATCACTCATTGATTAAAGGGGCAAAAATGTAAGTTGAAGTCAAGAATCAGGGGTGATATTGTAACAAGGAACTTAACACAGATTTGTGCATTTAATTTGATTACATTACAAAAATTGCCTATTGTTCAGAGAATTGAAATTTGCCCATTTAAAGGTGACTTTTCTGATAACTCTAGTAGTCACTGTATGGGTATGGTAATGAAACATTGTACATCAAGATAGCACAGGCTGATGTACATGTACAAGGAAAATGAGAGGAAAGAAAAAAGATAGAGACCAATAAGGAGAAAAAAGAGATGATCAGAGAGGAAAAGGGGGAGAGAGAGCGAGAGATAGAGACATAGAGAGAGAGATAGAGACATAGAGAGGGGGGGGGGGGGTGGTGATAATATCAGAAAGAGTGTGCAGACATGAAGGCATTATTTTAATAATAATAATAATATAGAATATTTGTAATGCGCCAACTCCACATGACTAATGTGTTCGAGGCGCATGGAGAAGAAAAACTATAAGTACACAAACAATGTGAAAATAAATCTAAATCTACTGGAAAGCCACTTTGAACAAATGAGAAAGAACGATATCATTTTTAAAAAGGACAGACTTACCCTCCTGGCCCAGTTGATAACATCATCAGCTTTAGCTACCACAAAGTCTGCTGCATGTTCAACTTGAAACCACCTTTCTTGGCTGGGGCTGCTGAGGTACTTTGATTCCTGTACGGTACCAGACTGGAGATATGGTGTAAAAAAATACAGATTGTTATTGGTTTATTCATAATATTCAATAATGCTCCCAATACACCTTAGGTGAAACAGATTAAAGAGCAATTCAACTCTATGTTAAGGTATTCGAGGTATGGATTCCAAATATAAAAGATAAGTACATAAGCTCACCAAATTAAAACTCTGCCTCAGATGGCACAAGCTATGAATGTTTTTACGATGCGAGATGATATCCATGGATTACATCTATATGAGAAAATTGAGAATTCCTCTTGGTGATAATTGCAGCTGATAAAACCTAATGTAGTGCAGTGGTTGTAGTATACAGTTTGAGTGTAACTGGCACAAATTATCTTGCTTCCAAAGTGAAGTCCTTCTACTAAGATGGTGCACAAGAAAAAAAAATCTACTAAATTTGTGTCATGACCTTTTTCCAGACTGTCCCTCGATTGGCCCGTTGTTGCCATGACACAAAAACATCTACTAGGGTACAGTAGAGAAGGTATTTCAACAACAGGTGAGCTTGCCTAATTTATATTCTATTGAGTCACAATGTTGAATAGGCTGACCAGCAGAAAACAAAAGAGATGATATCAAAAGGAATATTGGTCTGTCAATTATGAAAGGTAATTGATGATTGTGTAGTAAAACCAGCTGACAATTGTAAACAAACTGTGATGAAGTGTAAATGTTTTAGAATTAATGATAAAATCCGCTACATATGAATGCAGAGAAAAATGAGCAGAAACAGAATGGCAAACGTTAGAAAAAATTCATACCAAGCGAGTTACGAATGTTTGAAATATGAGGTCATTAGAGCTATACAAGCTCAAATTGGCAACCCTGTGAGTAGATTGTGACATAGTTACAGACAACTCTCCCATTTGAATAGTGATACAACTTTCAAAAATGCATAACTTTACTTATTACTTTTTGCCCAATTACGTTCAAACTGTCACTAGTCTATTTCTCTGATTTTCTGCTCTTAAAGAGAAGGTTGAGTTCTGGGAAGAGGTGAAAAATACTTTGTGAGCGTTACTCATTCTTATTATGCAAGTGTGGAAGAACTCAGATAAGACATGTTTTCCTGAAAAGCATGGCTCTTCAAATGCCTTCATATTCTAAATATTGCATGTAACATCGTAAAAATTGGGGGGCCGGCTTTTCACGCCACGTGTTTCATGTACATGTAGTCCCATATCTGGGTACAGTGTTTGTAACTTGCCAAATTTTTATCATTTTGATGATTCCAGAACCTTGCAATACACACAAATTCTTATACGCTAGATGATCAACCTTTTCTGGTCGGTTCCACACCATTTCTTTCCACAATGCAATCGCATGACCAGAACTCAACTTCATCTTTAAGGTTGGATTTCCTTTTAAAGTTGAGAAGCAAACAGTGAAGCTAACAATGAAAGTAGTTGAGGTGAATCGGTACAAGAACAAACTCGATCCTGGTATTTGGTCCAATAGCCTGATTCGCATGGATGATCAAGGATTTTTATGTTGTATTATAAGGCAAGGGCAGCATGGCCATTTTAATATTTGTGGATACTGTTACAGTTTAAACATTAATACGATAAGTATTTGCCACTTGATTAAAGGTGTTGATCAAGGCCTTACCTTGTGCATTGTGATTGCGTTTGTGTTGAAGCATTCTTCTGTTCATGAAGACACCTGATTGGCTGTGACCGGGAGCGGCCGCCGGGAGGGTCCGTACAGGGAGGCCTGAAAACCTTCCAAGCATTGCCAGGCGGCTGATCATGGTGGCTGGAAATTGGGAGAAGAAAAAAACTTAATTAATAAAAAAATACAAATTCTAATCATCATCGTCATCATCATCATCATACGAGGAGAGTGTAGATCCTGTAATCCTGTAATCCTCGGTCACCTTCTTCAGGGTTGGTTACGTTCTAGAGGATTACTTATTGCACATGCGCAGATTTGGGATGGTTTTGATCATATCAATTTAACTCAGTTCGAATCGCTCAGACCCACCAGTGCTTATCCAGTCTCATCTTGAAGATATCGATGGAGTTTGATTTAGTCTATTTTTCTGCCTTATCTTTTAATTCTTGCACAAATCAAGATTAATTAAAATTCCTATAAATACAAATCATATAAGAAAAGGACACAAACGTCCTCAGATTCAGACATTCAGGCGAAGACCAGTTACATGTATGATGCTTACTTAATACTAGCAATTAGTTTAGTGTACTAAGGCGCATAGGGTCTACACTGAATTTGCTGAATTTAGTGAACTCCTTCCGCGCACCTTTTTACACTTATTGCTATTTAATATCGTGAAGTAATTATCAAATTGGCAAAGCGAAAATGTGTATGTGCAAATTCGGCAGAACCAACAAAAAAAGATATTGTGAACTGAAAAATTTATAACACAGAGTTGTATTTTTTACCCATAATTTCCTGAAAGAGAACCATTAAACACAGCGAAGAGAACGTATGCACACATTCATATTTGCTGCATACTTTCTCTTCGCCATGTTGAATGACGATACAACATGGAAGAATCATCGGGGTAGGACGAAGAATCACCCCCTTTTTCCCATCGAAGACTTCTTCAAATTATAATTTTCAGTGGCCTGCGGCTGCGGGATGCCCAGAGGAGTCGAGTAACCTAGTAAGTCAAAATTGTAATTACTTGGTTTGCATATTTTAGAAAATGTCGCCCAACCCGCTGTTTGAATCGCTTCCTATGCAGCCTCTGAAGCGCCGACGGCTTCGCCGTCGGAGCATCCTGGAGTTAGGTCCAAGCGAGCAAGCACTGCTGCCTGCCCTGCGCCCTGCACTGCAGTACAGTGCCACTCATCCTATGTGCAGTGCATTCATTCTGGAATTTTAAAAAAGTTATGTAGATCGCAA